TTTCAAAGATGCAAGAATTACTTTGAGAAGATTTCTGTGGAAACTTAACAGGCTAATGCTATTGATTATTTTTATGATTGTTTTCGATGTAGAAAAGTAAAAGTGGATCATCTGGGTAAAGCATGGTGAACCATGTTGTTAAAGAAAGCTTGTAGTTTCTTTCCTTCTCTCTCCGTTGTGCTTCAGTACAACCAGGGATTATTTTGTGATTAACTTGATTCATCTCGTGTTTTTCATCCAGTTATGCTTCCATCCACGAATTTCCCAGAAAAAGTATGAGGTAAAGACCGGCAGTGTTTTTTTTTAGTTTCATGAGTCATAAAAGTCACATCATGAGATATTATTAACTGTGACACAAAGAAAAAATTAAAAGGAGATTATGAAAAGACGGGATGCCCGACTTATTTGCACGGCTGGGAAATGAGACAGGTATTAGACAGTGTGTCATATCAGGTGGGTGTGAGACTGGAAGATTTCCCCAGAACACATTTGAGATATACTGTATGGGAAATAATTGTTCACCAGACAGAATATTTAACAACATTTACGTCATTCTTTGTGGCCACCACAACTCAGCACTTTCAGTCTTATTTCAGTCAGATGTAAAAGTGCAAAAGAAATAGAAAAAAATCATCAGGTTGGCTGTAAAAATAGGACTTTAATGGAAACCCAAACAGAGTGGATTCCCGTCTTTTATAAATTTTATATAAAAAACATTAGTTTGAACTAAAATATATATGTTATTTGCTTTGTGTGTGTTCATGCTGGTATACAGATGTTGCCACTGTGAGACGGGGCCAATTTTCACCCTGTTTTAAATAGAAAAATTTCCAAGTGTCAAATAGCAAGAGGTGTCTTTGTTACTGTCTCCTCTGTTCCCGAGGATACTGATTTTTTTCTTCATCCTATCTCAGGTTTCTCATGTCAGTAGAGCCCTGTCGGCCTCCTGGCTAAACTCCCCTCCATTTAAACGTTTCTAGTCGACTGTCTCCATCACCCCGGCCTCTTCGCTCAGCTCCTGATCCTCTAATTTAATGTCGAGCTACTGTCATTTTGGACGCTGACGCTAGCCTGAATGCGTGAGCAGAGGGCCCCACGACACGGAGTAGGATTCCAGCTTTCAGGGCCGAGGGGAGGATTTCCTTTTCAACATGTCTGGCTGGTAAATATGTCACCGGGCTGGAAACCGATCCTGTGAAAAACAGGTGGGATGTTTTCAAACCCGCTACAGAAGTGCATGTGATCTGTCTTTCTTCCCTCACACACACACACACACACACACACACACACACACACACACACACACACACACACACACACACACACACACACACACACACACACACACACACACATATTGAATGTAAAGAGAGTTAGTTCCCTGCCAGCAAAGGTATTATCTGTCAAGAGTAAGCAGCGCTGGAGCAGTTTATCTGAGATCGGCTGCTAAATCTTCTCTCATAAGATTTCTCAAAGATTTACTGTGTGTGGTGTGTCCGTACCTCAAAAGGAGTTACATTTCACTGAACACCCCTGCGGTGGAAACGAAAATGAAACGACAGTGACCTTTCCAATGACAAATCCATCGTGACACAAAGGTGTGTTGTGTGAAGCCAGTATTGACTTACAGCCAGCCCGCTGTCATCACACGCCTCAAAGAAGAAAAAAACCTGTGATTAATTCTTATAATGACGTAGCAGAAATGCTCCGGTATACTCCGAGTTTTTTATAACTCTGACAATAATTTATTGTTTGATTCCAACGGCTGCGACCAGGGACCAATACTTGATCAGTTTGTTGTTATTAAAAGCTTCAACAAATTACAAATCCTCCAAATTCACTGCAACTTTGGATCCATGTACTGAGGTTACCAGATACAGTTTAGCTTTTCAGCGTGCATTACAGAGGTTTAGGTAATATAAGAGAGGTAATATAAACAGAAACATATGTAACTGATAACAGACACATGCATTTCCTTAATCTGATGCCACTATGTTGAGAGTTTTAGGTGTTTTTTGAGGTATGGCTCTGTCCACATGTGCACAGGTGTTTTGGAAAGCACAGGTTTTTCTGTGTTCTGTGCTGTGAGGATTAGTTTGAAAAGATTTACAAAGGCTTAGAAAATCAAAATGTTTATCAGGGAAGGAAAAGGAGATCAGATGATTATGATAAAGCATGGTGATCTGTGACTTTGATAAAAACCTGTAGTTTCTTTCTCTGTCTTTGCTTAATTATTGTGACATTTTTCACACATTAAGTTAAAAAAAAAAGGAAATGAAAAAATGCCGCTGTTACCGGTGTCACAGTTGCATCGCTTCTTTGCCCTTTCATCTATTCCAACCACTAACTTAATTATTTCCTTTATCATTTAGCAGTAAACACATTTTGTTTGTTTTTACATTTAAAAGAAAAGTATTATACGAAATAATGTAGGTACAACCAAGTAACAGCCTAAAAACACAACAACAAAAACGAAGTCCCAAAAACTGCAGTTCCTCTAGTGGCCACTTGAGGTCAAGACTGCTATGTTGAAATTTCCAGCTTTAGAGCATTCAAAAGCATGAGCACAACCTGCTACAAAAACAGTCCTCACCCCCCATTAGATAACTTTCCCCTCTATACTAACTCAACGGAAGTTTGAGGTGAGTGAAATCCTAGTATTTAATCAGTGTGCTCCTTGGTATTGTGTCTGTGCAGTTTATGGCTGTATCTTGCTAACTAAACTTGCCAGTGAAGACTAGGGACGTCAAACTGATTCTACACTGTAGGCCACATACAGCCCACTTTGATCTTAAGCAGTGAAAATCTGTTTTCTGTCAGTGTAAAGAAATCGAATTACACTTTTACTCCCTGTTACATCTTAATATTTTATTCACTTCAGTTTTATTTATATAGCATCAACTCACAACAAGTCACCTCAAGGAGCTTTATATTAAAATATATAATATAGCATAATATAAGAAAGATGTTCAATTTTAATAAGTGTTGCTGTAGTAAATGAAAGAAGCCGCTCATTGGGCTTAAGGAAATAAATGTGTTAAATTACAGTGAAACGTTCTGGTAGCTCATCGCCCAGACTGTCCTATTATAAAGCAAAGTTATTATTAATTCACAGACAATATCCTCTTTTTGACCCACTGTAAAAAAACACACAAATAAAACAGCGGGGGGAAAAGCAACTTTTCTATCAGTTCATTGTTTATCTATTACTTTACCAGTAGGAAAAGTTGTAAAACTTTTACAGTTAAAACTCCAAAATGTATTGGATTCACTGCTGTGCTGATTCTGGCCCCAGGCCTTATGCTCGACTCCTATGACTGATAACATCACATCACACTATTTTATGATCAGTTTTGCCCCCCCCCCCCCAAAAAAAAAACCAGCTTCCAGCCAGGGGTGCCTCTGGAATTTTTTCATAGTGGAAGTAGCTTAAGATTCACTTTCCCAGAATGGAGTAACTTACCGGTAATGTCAGCAAATTTGGAGGGCAGTGCCCCCTTGCCCCCCCCCCCCCCCCCCCCCCCCCCCCCCCTTGGTGGCGCCCCTGCCTTCAGCTTTCATTGTGAGTTGTAGTTCAAAATCAGTGTTTGATGCCTTGGTGTCCACACCCATATTTTAAACTGTCCCTGAGTACAACATATGTGCAGCCAATAAATATCATCATCAAGGAAATCATTTACTAGTTAAGACACTTAACTTTTAACCAAAAAGAAAAGCACACAGGGGTTTCTGCTCAAAAAAGTATTAGGGATCAACAAAGTCATTAGGCTTCATCCTCTGGGGATCATTAATGCTTGCGGCCAGCCATCAAACTGATGCCGAGATGTTTTGTCTTGGCCCAAAGTGGTAGACTGACAGACATCGGAGACGTCGCTGAGGCTCTCTAAACAGCCCAAAGACAACACTGGAAGTGCCTGAGATGTCACAGAACAGGTCGTGAGAGATGTGAATCCATCCTGGCATCACATAAGAATGTCTGCACATAATTAGGTCTCTTGGTAACATGTCTCTGACAGCAAGTGGTAATTAAATCAATGCTACACTATCATGCTACACTATAAAAAGTCCCTGACAGCCCTTGGGTTTGTTTGTTTTTTTCCACACTCAACATTTGGTTTATCCCACATAGAAGGATGTAAGATATCCACAACACATTCAGCCTCGTTGTCTAATAGATCTTTGGTGGCATATTTTAATCATGCACAAAATAATAGAAACATGTCAGTAAAGTCAGTTCTACTAAGGACACACTGGGAAGCTGGAAGCACATCAAGGCCCAGACATAGACCTGCGTTCACTTGCTTGTATTGTGAGTCAGTTGTGTTTGTTTCTTTCTTCATTTTTAATGGTTATTTCTCTGCTGCCCTTTTGGCCCAGTCAGTCTTGGAAAAACAAAAGATTTTTAATCTGACGCGTCGATAAGAATTACATGATTGCATCTATAAAACAATAATAGAAAACAGACAGTAAAATTAAGCTTTCTGTGTCATTTCAGTGATCTGTATTAAATAAATAAGGTAAGCCTTGGCTTGGATTTCATCTTCAAAATAAGTACTTGATTCTGCAGGTAGTACTGATTTGTATATTGGTCATTTTATAACTGGCTTAATGCAAAACACCATACTGTAAAAACCTCCACTAAATTCAGTCGTAAATCTTCCAGAAGTACAAAGATATTTTACTCCAATTTATGCATCTTCCTGTGTGTGTATATTGGGTGTGTCAGTATTGGCCACACCCCTCAGCACGTCATGATCTGAGTGACACTCTCAGAGCCAACACGTTAATTCCTCTCAGAAAAAAACTAACTAACAAAAACTACTTTTATTGCTCAGGTCTTGACGTGAAAACAATCGCTGTTGGTTCACAGCAGTCTCCCACCTCCACCCACCAGCATCACTGCTATAAAGCGCCCATCCTACGGTGTACGTGAACGCGCAAGCGCGAGTCCACGCGCGGTAACAGCACCGCGGCTCGTAGAGGAAAAAAAGGGAGAGAGAGCGAGAAGAGAGCACAGAGGAGCTGCTGTGGGAGGAGGGCAGACGTGACGGGAGCACCCAAAACAGAAGCTGCCGGGAGTACGACACGGACAGAGGGACCGGATCTTATCTGCGGCACATTTTGGAGATTTGAGCAGCCGGATACGCGCTCTGTTAACGACGGCGGCTTTTTCCCTGCGGTAAAAAAAAAAATCAGCACGGGTGTTTTTGGTGAGGAGGTCTGCTCTTCCTCTTCAAAAAGGACAGTCTGTGGCGGAGGGCTGTGCTCAGACTGAAGGCACGGTGGAGGAGGTAAGCCTTCCTTTTCTCCTTTCTTTCAGCTCTGTGTTGTTCAGCTCCCGCTGTCAGTAAGAGCAGACACCGGGGTGAGGAATGCCAAACCTCCGTCCTGCGGAGCTGCTGTTTGCCCCGATCAGTCAGCTCATCGGCTGCAGCCTCCTGTCCACCCCCCACCCCGCCACCCCAGTTCAGATGTTTCACCAGGACACCTTAACCCACACCGTCATTCAAAAATACCCTCCACCTTATGATGCCTACACACACCCTACACCTTTCTCACGTCACTCTCTTCCACCGTTGCCACCGCCTCGGATGAATGTCACCCTGTTTTCTTACATAATGCAGTAAATGTGCGGGTACGGTTACAGATGTTGGCTGGTGGATGCGAGACTCCACATCTGGCGGGGTGCAGCAGATAAACGTGACGCACTGGTGTAAACGGACAAGGCGCTGACCCGGGCGGGCTCTGTGTCGCAGAGGACGGGCTGCTGGAGCTGCAGCTGCGGGGCTTTGTTTTTGTGTCATCTACCTCCCTGCTAACGCGCTCTGTGAGCTCCATGACGCTCGGTGGTGAAATTTTTTTTCGTCAAGCGCGAGCCTCTCAGCTTGCTGACATCACGCTGCTGCTGCTGATGGGGCATGGCTGCTTTTTTTTTCTTTTACAGCAGGGCAGGATGATGTTCAGCTGCTGTGGACGAGGCTCAGTATAGAGCCTGTATTATGTCCTGTTGATCAGCGTGCACTTAGAGCAGTGTTCTGCTTTACCTTCAGTCTAAACATACTTTGATTCCGGCCTGATCGTAGATTCCGAATGGTTTGATTTCGAAACGTAGGTAATTCAACTTTTTAATGCAATTTAGTGACTAAAGAATGCACTAATTTGACACACATCCATCAGATCAACAAGTCTGACACAACTCTTGTCGACAAAAGTAGAGCTGTCAACACCAAAGAGGGATTTTAAGCTGTAAGCCTGTTACAGATTGGAATGAGAGAGCAGGTAGAGGAAATATTGGTGTGATGTAATACCAAAAAGTACAAGCCATTTTGTGATGTTAAGTCGGGCTGAGGATGAAAATAAAATAATGCTTGAGTGAGAGTCTGAGTCAAAATGAGGTGATTTCAAACCAGCTGACAGGTTAAAACATGCCTGCTTGGCCTCAGTCAGACCACCGGTGCCATCAAGGTCTCCATCCACTAGCTCCAAAAGCCCCAGTACTACTTCTACCCTCCTCCTCCGCTCCCTGTGGCAATCTGCATGAAATGCCACAGTGATGGCACTTTCACGAAAACAGATAACAGCACTTTTGGGTGGACGTCTTTGACAGGCAAGGAGAGACAAACACTTCTCACCACCTCCGGGTGCTCTTGAGCTCAACTGTCTGGTTTCACTCTCCCCGTTGCCGGTTCGGGATAAGGAACCTGCTGCTTTTTTGCAGTGTCAACTTTGCTGACGTTAACATTTCATGCAAGTCATTATGTAAGTGGCGAGGCCCTTGAGAGCAGAACTGAAAACATTGCTTTGACAGCTCCAGCTGGCTGGCGAATGGGCTCGTGAGTGCGCCGAAGGAGCTCCAAAGCGGCCCAGAGATGTTTCGTTTTTAAATCTGTGGCAGATGAAGACATTTGTGAAAGCGGAAGAGCAGCCATTGAGGCTATTTTTCCTCACAAGTTAATATAAACACTACAACACATTCAGAGCACTCAAGGCACTAAAAGAGCAATACCAGTCATTTCAATAATTCATAAACAGTGGAAGTCTTTAATCTATTTTCTACAGCTGTTTTGAGGCTCTGGACCAATGTGTCTAGATTTGGGTTTTTCTTGACTTTTTAATGCAAAATGGATAAATCATAGTCTTGTGGTTCATTGCTCTCACATCTGCAGTTTGTTTGGTTGATGTGAAACAGGAAAGCAAATGGAAACGTGTGAAGGAAGGGTTAGAAAAGAGAGGCTTATACGGTAGTATGAATAGGGAATATTTACCAAGCCAAGTGTCTGAATTTTTAAAGAAGAAACGGGTCAAATCTGTGCAGCTGCAGCGTAAAATTGGTTATTGTTATTGTCATAAATAAGCACGTTAAAAGACTGTTGATCAGACAGTTTGACTGATAGCTTAAGCACAACGAGTTAATTCAGTTCAAATGGATTTAAGTCCGTGAACAACTACATTTATGAAGAGAAATAGCTTCTGTGTGAACAATCTGGACCCTCTTTGTCCTTGCATGAGGTGCTGACTCATTCTTGAACCTGCTGCAGCAATACTCAAGGCTTCATGTAAAACAATATCAGGATGAGGTTAAGGCCACATATAGCATGTCAGCAGCTATGTGCATCTCTAAGCAGGTGTATTTATATAGCCATTCACAATGGTGTGAATGGTGTGTGTGCATGCGTGTGTGTGAGGCATCTATCTTTGGATTCACGCTGACAAAAAGATTTTGAAAAGATACTGCAGTTAACTAGTCAGATTTCAGTTGTCACTAGTTTTATTTTATTTACCATGGCCATGGCTCGTTTATGCACCTTTTTTTTTTTTGTTACGCTTTGCCCTCACATTTTCTAACCCTGATCAGTCAAATGTAAATGAAAATATGAAGGCCTTAAATTGATAACTATTCCATATTTATTTATGTGTTCGTTGTATTTAGACCCCTCTATTGTCTGCTTCAACTGTAGTATGAGATTTCTCACAGTTTTATTTTAGGTGTCACCCACATGGACTGTGGTGGTTGTGGTGTGAGAGGAAACAAACCTTCACAGACATTGTTCAAAAAACAGTCACTGCGATGCATTGTGGAGCACCGAGGCATGTCTGTGCACAGTTTGACGTTTTGCATTTACTATTAGATTCTGATGAACATAAAAAGTAATGTGTTTTTTTTCATCTGTTAGATATAAATTCATAATATAAAAGATATAGCGCTATCCCAGAAAGAACCAAAGCTGTCTGTTCAAAGCAAGAAATACATGTTGTGGTTTTGTCCGAGGCCTCAACTGTTGTCCAGAAAATGTTAAAAAAGTTAGCCTGATTAGATCGAAAGTGTGTCAGTCTTCATAGACTCCCATGTTGAACTCTGAGGCATTTGCGTGCACCTGTAAACTCAAGTTATGAAAAATCATATCTATATTTTATCATCGGAGAACAAAAAAATTAAAACACATAGAGAAAATAGACAACTTGACCACCAACTGAATAAAATCTTATCCTCTTCCTCCTCACCTCAAGCCTCATCTCCTGACCTGAAGTCGGGACTCCAACACATGCAAACATGCAGAAACATGCTTGTTTATTCCCCATCATTTTTGCAGTTGCGTATTGTCAGCAGATTGCACATCTGTATCTGAACCTGAAGCATTATCTCATTTGGGGTTCTCCAGTTATGCGCAGCCATCTACAACAAACGTAAGGCAGCAAGGGAAATCCTTGCCAACACTGCACAAATGTAGTAGAGACCAACATATTTGTTGGTCTTCTTAAAAGGAGTTTATAAAGCTTCATTTCTTATCTATTTTCTAGAATAAAAGCTTTAGTTGTTGTGTTAACCCCCTCTTAAACTCCTACACTCGATCCATGTTTAGAAGAGACCTCCTCTTGGTGGTGCATCCACTGTTGCCACAATGTGTTGGTGGAACACCACTAGAATAGACCCGGTGCTTTTACGAAATCTGTTTCACTGCCTGATGAAGGAGTGTATGCTGGAAGACGCTGACGTTTTCATTTTAGATTCGACATACTCATGCCACGAGATTAAAGACATTTTAAAATGTTATATAAAGAAGACTGTCTTGGCTTTCTTTAATGCCTTCGCTAATCTGTCTTATTCCCAAAATGATTTGAAGGAAGATACAATGTAGCACTGGCAGAGTATTGATTGTGTAAATCCTGTTATCAGTGGTGGTTTAGCTTGTAGTCTCGTGCATCTGATGTTGCTGTGTCCTTCAATTTGCTCCTAACAAACTCATTTTTACATACACCAGCACACGGGTGCATTAAAATAAACAGTCGCACATTTTCTCCAGCCGGCTGGATCACTCAGTCAAACACGATTGCTGTCACACTTCTGCTGTTAGTTGAGGCCGCCTTGTGACCTGCTGACCTCTGTCACACATGTGCACCGTGAAGACAGAAGCTGGCTTGTTAAGAGCGTGGATGCTGTCAGATACAGAGTCTTTAAGTGCTTCATTTCATTGATTGAAGTCCTTCTCACAAACTCCTGAATCCAACAAATAATCCCCACACAGACACGTTTATCCCTTTATTACGTCCGTCATCTGCAGGTGGGGTTAATTCACGAGCGCATTTTACTTGTTAGGTGTTATTTAGAGAAAAACATTCAAAGGAGCTGCGTCCAAACCAAAGAGACAGCCGGTGAGAATTCCTACCTCTCTTTTGTGCAGCTGTCTGATGAGATTAAAATACCTTTCACTTTTGTTTTCTCCAGAAGCTTCTTGAAAGGATTTACTGCAGTATAAAAAGTGTCAGTGGTGCAGATTGTTAGCATGATAGCAGAAGTCCTTTTGATTCCAACATGGCTTGTTTCTTGGTGGGGGCTCCGCTGTTTGTTATTCCTATAGCTGCTCAAAGCCCGGCTCTCCGTGGATTTCTGCATCCATTATCGCTTCTCACATCTCCTTTGTATTATTCATTAACCTCATGCTATGGCTGTCACTGCTTTAGGCACCATTTAACGAGTATTCGCCTTGTGGAAATAAACACGTCTTGGTTTTATTGGTGGGCTTATTTTGACATAGAGAATAGGCACACTTGATTGTGGTTCTTACAGTAGGTAGCAGCCGGTGAGGGCATGGATCAGTCCCCTGGCACTGCCCGGGGGCAAAGAGCAGCCAGCGGCACCTCTCCCCTCCATCCTGCCTAGCTGGTTACAGATGGAGAGGCAGCAAGAGAGACTTTGACAGGGAACGAGGATCATTAAGCGAGCGAGTTTAGGCGTTGATACATGTTGAAGGATTCCTTTTAAATCAGCCAGCAGTGAGACTCCCTCTGCAGA